AAAAGAGTAAGTAAAACACATGATGAACACGATGAGGTTTGTTTGTTTAAAATTTGAATGAAGGAGTAGCGTAATTCGTACCGTGGGGAATCCCTTGCAGCCGAGTACATCGGTGTGGCAAATGCTGGCAAAATATATCTTCACTCTCACTTCGCCCTTTCTTGGAGCTTCCACTTGTATCTCCTCCACCTTTGGAACCTCATTCTCTCCCCATATCACTGCCGCTGCATATCGTTAATTAATAATCATTACACGCCAATTTAGCAGCTCATATCTCCACCTCAATTTGTCACAAAAATTTTTACAATATTTTAGTGGTCTGATACCATTGTAATAAAAGTAGTTTCATTTTTATTATCTTTTCTGAACTGTTTATACCTTCATTTTCTAGTTTATTATACATAATCAATACATAATCAATTTGAGATTATTGAATTCACATAAAAAAAATAAATACTAGAAAATATTGAGATTATTGAACGAACAAGAACAATATCTAACTTGGATTGACGAGATATTTTGTGGTTATTGTAAAATGATAAAGTGCAATTTGGAGCAATTTTGCAAAAATCTATTCATAAAATATACTTATATTGGACTTCTCGAAAAAAATCCACCCTTTATTTCTGTAAAATTCTCTGTTTTTTGAGAACCAATTCATCTATAAATTCAATTTAAATTTATCATTAAACGTGAATATTTTAGAATAAGCTCAAAGAAATAAACAGGCCTTTGTTTTCTTGTAGATAATTTTATTCTATATTGACCTGATAGGACCCAGTTAAGCATTTAAACAATGTATCAGGAATAGTATTAGAAAATGCTTATTACTTTGTTATAATAACTATTAACTACATATAATTTGGTTTATGTACAAAATGAATAATTGATTTAAATGTTCGGAATTTTACTTTATATATATATATAAAGTAAAAAATTGTCCGCTCGTTTTTTAATTAATTGTAGGCACTATTCTAAAAATTGGCCTAGGCGGTGCCCGCGCGCCTCTGATTTGCACAAATCGGCAGAAAAAATCGGTCAGGCGGCTAGGCGGCCCTAGGTGCTCCTAGGCGGGCTCGGCGGCTAGGCGGGCATAGGTACTCTTAGGCGGGCTCGACGGCAATTTTTTATTTTTTTTAAATACTAATTACATTATTTTGTTCTCATGTTTTCTTTAATATATATTAATATTATTATTTTGACTTTGGTGTGTGAATTTGTTATAAGTTGAGGTAGTTTTATTTTGTAGGTAGTTAAAATAAATAAAAAAAAAAGGTATTTAATAATGATTTCTGGGCCCCGACTAGGCACTGCCTAGGCCCCGCCTAGGCGCTGGTTGAAAGCCTAGTGGGCGCCTAGTGACTTTTAGAACACTGATTGTAGGAAAAAATTGTTACATTTTACATTAATGTATAATATATTTTTTAACATTTTATTAAAAATTACTTACAACCAATACTAGCTAGCTACAAATCCACATTAAATGTTATATGAAAGTTACATACTTACTAAAAAAAAAAATCTAACGGAATACTTATTATTCGTGATATTTTATGCATTAATGTGTAATAATATATTTTAATATTTTATTATATAATAGTTAGTACCAATAATAGCAAAATATAAATTTCCATTAAATGATAGTCACATACATACGAAGAATTCTATTGCAATACTTTTGCTTCAAATATTTATTTTACTATCATTATTATTTTTCATCTCATTAAGAGATTTTTCTTTTAAGTTATTTAATTGATTTTAGTGACATAATCAAACCTCTAAAATTACATAAATAATTTTTATAACAATAACAAAAATAAATTTTAAAAATTTCAGCAACTTAATCAATCACGATCCCTTAAAATTTTACAAATTTCATTATCATTTACACTAGTATTTGACCTGTGCATTTGCACAGATATAAATAAATTATTGTGAGTCTGTACATATAATGATTAATTATTTTTCTTTCACTTTTCTGCAGACCAAATTTACAATTAAAAGAGTTGGAATATTTTTTTTCTAAATTGCGTTTATCTGATTGGATGTAATGTATATTTTGGTACGTCTTTTATTTGTGAATTATTTATTATTTATTTAGAAATTTCAAATATATTTTTTATTTAAAAAATAAAAATAAATTAAATGTAACGGCAATAATAACATCTAATCACATTGTATGGTCAACACATTATATGGTCAACTGTCATTAATCAAAAGTTTAAAATAATTTTTATAATTTTGAAGTGATGAGTATTAATTATTTAATGATTAAATGAAAGATTAAATACATAAAAATGTAACGGTTTTTGGAGGGAAAATTGTTAAATTGCCACATAGGTAAAATTAAATAGGTTTTATTAAATTCTATTAGCTAGTAATTATATATATATATAGATATTATACCATTAATACAGTAATTCATACGTAGTCATATACATAATTTATATTTATATTATTCATTTTTACTACAATAAAATTTTAGAATTTGATATAGTTATAACTTTAAATAATATACACATTTATATAACATAATATTTCGATTGCATCATCTGTTCATGTTCACATAAGATCTAAGTGCTAGTTTAATTTATAAATACTATTACGTAACCCGTGCGATGCATGAGCTGTATTTATTTTGGTAAAATATATAAATAGAAGGCTATTAATATGTAAGTTAGATTTTTGGAATGTCAACATCACGAAATAAAATTATAGTGAAAATATGTAATAATGTGACAAATATTAAAGATATTATTTATGGGGTGAAGTTTAATTTTATATCGAATATAAGAAAAGTTGTTACCTTGAAGTGTGGATTTATAGTGTATCTATTTTTTTTCAATCATTCTCATTTTTTATTCCAAATCCATTCCAATCTTTAGAACATTTTGTTTTGTTATGTTTTAACATAGATTTTGAATTTCGATGGTATCTTGTGTAAAATAATATTTACAAAAATAATTACTTTAAAAAAATAACAACGATATTTTATCAATTGTACTTCAAAACTAACTAAATGAATCAGATGACATGTAAATCATATTTTTTAAGGAAAAAAATGTTTCACAAATAAATTTATTTGGGTATATCTATATTTCATTTTGCATGGATCTTGTGTGTATCTCTTTCGAATAAGGCAGTCATTTTTTTGCTTGGATTCATAATGTATAATTTTTTCACGTGATAAATAAGGATATAAAATTGTATTTTTTGTATATATAAATGATAAGCTTGAATGTTAATCCTGTATCATGAAAATTTGAATGCTATTTATTCAAGAAACGTTTGTTGCGTTTTGAATGGAAATGATCGAACTGTTATAGTTGTTTATATCACACTTTTATAGCTTATTTTTAAAAAAAAAAAAAAAAAAAAATTATAAAAATAAAATTGTGAATATAACATGTTCAATTCCATTGCAGTTTTAAATTTTGTTTAAAGAAATTAAAAAATATATCTACTATCCTTAATTAGAATGAGATTTCATTTTATTAATTGGTGGTTTTAAAAATCTTCTATAAATAACAAATTACACTCAACAAAATCATTACCATAAAATAATAGACTATAATATCATTAAATGGTTGGATTAAATAAATTCAAAATATACACAACACAAAATTCAAAAATATTTTTTGTACAACCAAAACTGAGGATCTACATATATAAAATAATAATAGACTTCAATCATTTTTAGTAATTTTTTCCCGCCATTATGCATTAATTTCATGCTAAATATAGTATTATTAGGCATTTCAGGCTAAGAAATATCGGAGCATTAATTTTCAACCGATATGGAATCAAATTGATTTAGTTGTTTGGGGATGCATTTCCCCTTTTTTGTAGAGGAATCTACTGACTTAATTGTAGACGATTGATGCATTTCCCTTTTTTTATGGAATCGAAATCCGTACAATATTATGGAATAAAACTAATTTGATATATAATGGATATAAATCTGCCGAAAAAAATAACGTTATACCAACTAATTTAATAATAATATAATAATAATAATATAACTCTGCCAATTTAATGAGAGTAGAACTCTCACGTTAATTATGGTATCATCCATCAAAACAGAATATGGAATATATGCCATATTAATAAATATTATTATTTAAATCATATAACATTATGTGATATCACACGAAAACTAGACCTATAAATATTCAACAAACACATATGAGAAAAGCACCTTACAATAATCTATAGACAGTTCCAAAATACTACCAAGCAACAATGGACAAGTTCTTCGGTGTCATTAATGAAATTGAAAGAACAAAGAGAATTCCATTGAAACTTCGTGTGGTTTGTATGTTTGAGTGCGAGTTTCCTAATTTTGACCACACCATCTTGTAGATTTTGTTTCAAGACAAGGAGGTATTATTCTATTTAATTTTTATTTAGTATTATATCAGCTACATACAACATTCAATTTGTTTAATCCTTAAATTCTTATATTTGTAGGGCTCACAAATCATCGATTTGGTACACAATTATAACATTCCGAAGATAAGCCTGTGTATATTCCATTCGCAATTATGAAGTGGTTAGCAACCTTGGCAAAAATAGGTCTACCATCTAAATTCAAAATGACCTTGCATGTATGAAAGTCAACGCAAGCAACTCCTTCAAAATGATTATCCTACGATTGACAATAAAATGAACGAATATAGATTATTAGTTTATTTGGGTAATAGATTTGATGGTTTGAGAGTTTCTATTAGTTTATTTTCTATAGTATTTTTTGGATTTTGGTAATTCTGCATTTTCAAATTAATCGACAAATATAGTTGTCCACTTTACTTTTTGGTGAATGAAAATTTTAGCATATATATTTTATGGGAAATATTCCCCTACGCACCGAGGGCACAAATTAATTTGTCCACCACTTATGTGGCATGTACACATCACCAAACACTATTTTCTCCAACAAACTAATACATGCCACATAAGTGGTGGACAAATTAATTTGTGCCACTCTGGGTAGTGGAGCATTTCCCTATATTTTATTTATTTATTTATTTTTTATCCAAAGAAAAGAGCATATTAGTTTTTTAACTATCAGTTACAGTACATAACAATAAAATCAGCACATCCCATCTAATAAAACATCACATCTATAAAAATCCCAATTAAACATCACCAAGACAATAAACATATTTGCGGAAATGATTATTTAAACTTGATCATCTAATATTAAGAATAAATCATTAGCATATAAAAACATTAGCAAAATAAAAATTAGAAATTTTATATTTAATAAATATAATTTTATTTTTATTTTTCCTAATTACGATGTAAAATTACATTTTAATAAAACTATAATTGATTTACTAATTATGTATTTGATTATTTGTATTCCATTAGTCTAAATCTATTTGTTTGTTATATAGATATAAAATTTTATAATGTACTCATATTGGCAGTTTTATAAGATTTTATAATGTACTCATATTGGCAGTTTTTCATTAATAATTATCATTTAAATAACCAAAGATCTTATTTACTCTACTACTTACCAATATTTTGTATTGTTTAATATTATAAAATATTCAGATTGTACATTTTTTATCTCGATTATTTGGACTGTACTTTTTTTTTTGTATATTTTTTATCTCTTTTCAAACCTATCAACTCATTTTAATATTTCTAATAAGTCTGCTGTAAAAATTAGAAGAGGACTTCACAATTTAATAAAATTTTTCAAAATAATTACAACTCGTGCATCGCACGAGTTACATACAAGTATGACAAACAACAATTGAAATTATGGCAGTGCATTTAATGCTTCTTTTGCGAGAAACTCTTTCTAAAAATGATTTAACCTTATTCTTATTTATTTTATATAGATAGATTTCTAACTTTATTCGGGTGCAGTAATTATACAGTATAGCTACCGATTGACATGTGATATTCACATATCCATTATCCATTATACCATCGTAATATTATAAGAAATACTACATTGTCAATCTAATATACAACTAGGTTATTAACAAAAGTGGAAACATCAACTTGTGTATTTTTTTATTTTTATTTTTTTAAATATTTTCACTTGTCTTCTCCACCTAGTTGTACACTAAGTTTACAATATATCATTTTCCTAATATTATATTTAACACTTAAATTGCCTAATTATTGTGGTCCTCAGCTCATATCACGACTAATGTAAAACCTGCTCAAGCTGATGGATCCATCCATAAATCTTCTCTCTCGAAGACTCAAACACATTCCTCCCACAAATTCAAGTTATTGAAGACAAACAAACACACACACACACACACACGCATCTTTAGTTATTGAACTACTCCCTAGTGCTCACTTCCATTACACATCTTACGAATTCTTTACACACACACACCTTTGCAAGTGATGGTTGTTGGTTCTTCTTTGTTGGTGGTGGTGATGTCTGCCGCTGCTTCTTCTTCTTGAGCGGTGTTGGAATTGGGCGTGGACATGGCTGAATGCTGCACAAGTTCAATTAGATTGAAGATCTGTGCACTGTGCTCCCCAATTGTAAAACTGCTTTAATAATGTAATGATTATATGCGGTGGGCAATGAAGCCAATAATTATCGTCGACCTCTATTGTATTATTAAATAATACACAGATGCGTTTTATTTTACTCAAGAAAAAGAAATAGGGGACGCTCGTTGATCGCGTGTGACATTGTCGCATCCTAATTCTGATGGTCCTACGGCTATACTCCAATAATTGAAATCGTAAAGAGACCAACATAACCTCATCACATGACGTCCAGCCTCGGGTTTTCTCCCATACCTCATCGTGCCTTTTGTGGTCGTTGTCGGCATCTGTACAATCAAGGGCGTAGTCAAAATTTTTTTTACTTGGGACAGCAAATTATATAGTTATTATTCGAACCTAGTTCTGTCCTAATATGGTTCGATTTGATTTTAAAAGTTCGAGATTGATTTGCTTGTATATTTAAATGGTTCAAACTCGAATAATTAATCGAGCTTGTCTATTAAACGAGTCGAGTCGAGTGTGTTTGCGAATAATTCGGTTAGAGTTTTGTGCTTTGGTCTAGGTTTTAAGGTTTATTAAATGACTTGAATTGTGTTTATACGAACCGAAACACAAGCTCAATTTTTTATTTGTTTATTAAACGAGCTGAGCCATGACAGCTCGTTTTAAATTAGCACGAGTACTCAGTTTGAAAAATCTAGCACAACACATGTATAAAGAAGTTCAAGTATGAAAATAATTTTTAAATTTAACATAAATTAGATGAATCACACGATAAGTATTATTAAAACGATAATCTTGCATCTATAAAATAAATTTTTTTATACTCTCTAACTAGTCATTTTTTGTATGAAGATGACTTTCCTTTAACAAAAACTTTTGAATTTTTAACTACTCTTTTATACATATGACAAATAATTATTTTTAAATGTTTCATTTTATTTTTATGTAAAGGTAAATTTTCTCATTTACTTGAATTTTAACTAAAAAACATTATTAAAAGAGCTACTATAAAACACTGTAATAGTCTTGTTATTCTTGTTATGTTATATTATTTAAAGTACATATGTCATTTCATTGAATTTGTCAAACAAATAATTGAGATTTAGTAGTAAATTTCATATAATCAACTATCATTTATTTAAAAGATGAATATATAAACTTGATTGTGAAATCTATAATCAACTATCATTTATTTAAAAATTCGGTCAATATATAAACTTGATTGTGAAATATATAAATTCAGTTACATACTAAGTATTTTAATAAAAGTCTAACAGAATCAAATGTTGTCTCGAATAAAATTATTCAAATAAAACCTATTTAATCAAATATTAAAAAATAAACATAAAATGATGTAAAAGGAGCACAATAATCTAAAAAGAAAAGTGAAGAGAAACATAAATTATGTTCACATATTTAATTCATCGATTTTGTTTAAAACAAATTTAATTTATTGACAACCAAAATAAGATTAGTATTGGGTTAATCTAATGTAACATGGGTTAAAATATATATTGTTTACCAGTATAAAATTAACAAAGCCAAAAAATTAAGACCGGACTGGAGCCTACCCCAGCCCTTGGGGTGGCTCCACCTTGCGTACAATCATCATTCACTGATCCAATTCTCCCTTTGGTTGGCAGAGGAGAGGAGTATCTACTTTTCTCAGAAATCTTCTTCCATTGACCGCCAAGAGAGAGAGAATTAGGCGGTCTAGAGTAGAGGTAAGTTGAGACTTGAAGAATTCCAAATCATTTCGAAAATCAAACTGAAATCACTCGAAGCTGAAGATAATAGTTTTCATTTGACTTTCTTCCAATCAAACGAAAAAATATCCGGTACGGTTCCCGATATTTTCTAAAAAATATACGTACCGCATAATTTTTTCGCACTTTATCGATTATTTTCTCCTATCTGTCGCGTAGTTTATCGAATAATTTATTTCACACTTGAAGGAAAGGTGTAATGGAGGGTCGACAAAGTTGAGTCTAGTGAAGGAAGCAATCTAGTCAATTATATTCGTCTGTCTGTCGCATAATTTATTTTGCACTGTGTGAGATGAAAAAGTTAATTTATCATATGCGATGGGAAAAACTTATTCCATCTCCAAAACGGTGAAAATAGCTATTTCACTGTATAGTTTTGTGCAATTATTTACAAAATACGTAAAATTTAAAGAAGAAATAGCTATTTTCACTTCGGTCTGAAGACGGAATAAGTTTTATATACCGCCAAATAATAAGTTAATATTTTCACCTCATAAAGTACGAAATAAATTAATAAGCTATGTGACAAACATGTGAAGATAATTTGTAAAGAGCGAAATAATTATACGGTAGGCTATGTGAATTAAAGATGAAGAAAATTGATAAAGTGCCAAATAGTTATGCGATCACTATACGATAAACAGGCGAACATAAATGATATAGTGCGAAATAATTATACGATAAACTATGCGACAGACTGAAAATGACTGATAAAGTGTGAAGCAGTTATGCGATAAACAGGCGAATATAACTGATAAAGTGCGAAATAATTATGCGAGATACTATGCAAAAAACATCAGAAGATAATTGATAAAGTGCGAAATAGGATTCGAGAGTGACAAATAGGGTTCGAAAGGACGAGCAACAACCCGCTTATCGAAAGCATTTTTAGGATCTTCGTCTTCTGGTGTCCAAACGCGGGTCGGGATACAGTCTAGAAGATTGACTGACCAAATCAAAGCCTCCATTTTAAGATAGCTTTCAATTCATACTTTAGAAGCATGCTTAAGTTTTGTCGAAATTGTGTATGTACGTGTTTGATATCCGATAGCGATCTGTGGAAACGGACCGCGTTCACTGGTGTGTTCTAGCATATACGCTATTACATAATATGCCTAAGTATTTCACATACTTGTTAACTATGTGTACGATTTGGATATGCGAGACATAAAATATGCGAAAACTTGTCGCATAATCGTAAAACATGCGAATATCAATTTGGAGCATAACAAAATTTATGCTGTAAATTTAGAACTCCTTTTTCTTGTAGTGTGGTTTCCTGAGTATTGGGGTGGAAAAGAAGTTTTTCAATTGTAAAAAAAAAAAATACAATTTTACATTGAAATGTAAAAAAATTCGCCAAAATTAATTTACTAATATAGGTCTCACCCGCAATGCTTACTACAGGTTCTGCCACCGATGTTCCAGACAATGTCACTAAGGGGGTGATTGTTTATTGATTCAACTAATTTTTATTTGATATGTTTCTTAACTATAGTTAATTTTAGAAAAAAGTGATATGGTTAGTTATTAGTGGATATTTTAAATAATATTTAAATAAAATAATTAAAATTGATTTGATGTAAAATAGGAGAAAAATGATTGGAAGTGATGGTTAGTTAAAATTGTGTGAGTGGATGAATAGTGAATTAAAGTTGATGTGATGTGTAAGAATGATTAGTTGATATTATTTATTTATATTGATAATATAAAAGATAGTAGGGTTTGGTTAAAGTTGAGTTAAATTTGAGTTTTGATTGATTTTTATACTGTATAAACTATAAACAATCGCCCCCTAAAGAACCCAAAAATATGCCTCTCTCTTTGTACCAAAAAAAGAACGGAAAATTCAACTTAAACCCCTAATACTACTTTCAACTTCCAGTTCAGTCCCCTCCCTAATATATTTCCTCTGCACTCTCTTCCCCTAATTTTCTCTTTCCATTTCACTCCCCATATATATACAACTCTTATTATTATTCATTTATTTTTCTCTAAAATCATAAAAAGTTATCGTCTCTCTCTGTGACACATCTTCCTCACCCTTCTTTCTCTCTCTCTATTCCCGTCTCTCTCTCTCTCTCTCGCCGGTCTCTCAATTCCCGTCTCTCTCTCTGAAAATTCCAATTGTCGTCGCCTTCCTTTCTCTCCTTTTTTCCGTAGGACCTTCGTCTCCCTCTGAAAATTCCATCGCCATCGCTGAACACGATACCCCTCCCATCCATCCGGGAAGCCCTCTGTCTCCGACCAAAAATCCACGAAAAATTGCAGAACAAAAGAAAAAAAAAAACGCAACAGACTCTTCAAAATCCTCAAATCCCCAAATCCTCGAAAAATCTTATACCAACTCAAACTTGTTTTTTTTTTTCTTTAAATCCCCAAATCCTCGAAAAATTTGATCCCAACTCAATTTTTTTTTTCTTTCAATTGCTTGTTTTTCCTTTCAATTGTAGTCTGACAGAAGGTGATTGGAGCTGCTTCGATGGCCTCTGGCACAAATTCTTTGCAATCGAAGAAACCGGCGGAGGGAAGGAGATTGAGGCAAAGGCGTGGCGCCTTATAGTGGCCACGGAGTTCGGGCCCTCAGGCTAAAAAAAATAAAATTGTGAGACAAATAGGCCTGCAGTACTAGCCCTTTTCCAGGTGCTTGCTCTCTCATAATCACTGTGATTCTCTGAAGAAGCTGGAAAAAGAAAAATTAGCCTTTGCAAATGGCTCTGTGATCAAACTTGTGAGTTTGTTTCTTAATTATTTTTTTTCTTTTTGTTTTTTAGGTTCTCGAAAACTTTGTTTGCTGGTATGATACTACTTATTAGTTGTTTTTCCTACCTTATTTTTTATAATGTCAGTAGTATTTTTTGTTGCATCTATCTTTGTGGGTTGTTTAATTAGGTGGGATTTGATGGAATTTGTTCGGCGTTGAATATTTTTTTGTTATTATTATTTTTATTTTCATGTTGAATGTTTTATTTCTTAGTTTGGTGTGTATTTGTTGTTATGAGTTGGAACTCTGAAAACAAGATCTGGTCTAAGTATGGCCTCTGTACACTTGAAGCTTTCTTTTTGTTTTTATTTTTTTGTCATTTTCTTTTGTGTCTACATTTATGCTTGCCATCACTTACTAATCTCTTAGATTATGTGTTATCTGGACTTATAGTCAATAGTTTTGTTGATTTGTGGTACTAGTATCTAGAGAAGCCAAAAGGGTTACCAACAAAAAGAAATGGCATCTTTAAAGGTTTTTTTATTTTCGACAACGGCATCTTCCAAAGCGGAAAAAGCCCCGAACCCCCCGCAGTTTCCCACGAAATCTCTGACGCCTACGACGTGCTGTATGACTTCAACAATGGCATTAACTTCCCGTACGGGCCGGGCCCAGATGTATGGATCTCGATGCAGCATCCCCATGTTAAGTATGATCCGCGTGCCTTTTGGTATCCGGTAGTCCATTAGGCGACAATCTTGGGCGGCCTCGTGTGGTGCGGATATTGGAGCCCGTGGGTAGAGTCGTAGAGATTCCTTGATTACAGCTTGGAGATAGTGTAGGTTGTCAATGTCCGATTCTTGGTCCCATCAGTGTTTGTCGATGTTCATTTCGATCTCGTGTTGAGCCCGATGAATGACAGTGGGGTGGTTAG